GGGCTGGGGATTTGAACCCGCCACCTTAGGTGTATGTGGCTGGCGCCTTAGCCACTTGAGCCACAGGCGCCGAGCCAATTTTTAAATTCTTTATAGATATGGGGTCTCAGTATGTTGTTCAGGCTGATCTTGAACTCCTGGGCTCAAGGGGTCCTCCTTCCTGGCTTCCCTGAATGCTGAATTTTTAAAGGTCATTTGAAAGAAGTAGATATTGCCTAATCTACTGAAATTTATAAATACCTGCAAGGACCTTACCTTATCCTGGAATGGCCTGACTTAAAGAGGAATGGCCTGACTTAAAGTGTTAATTGGTCATGTTTTGTAAATATTTAATTTTCTTGAATTGTAATCATTTTTTTCCCTTCTCCTCCCCCCTTTGTTTTGTTAACAGTTGGGCAGAGAGACTCTGAAGATGTGAGTGAAAGAGACGCCAGTAAAGAGATGGCTGCTAACTCAGAGGTGGTTCATGACATCACAAGTGACGAGCAGGAGATGCCTGAAATAACTGAGCAGGTTCCTTCTTCAGAAAGCAATTTAGAAGAGTTAACACAACCTACTGAGTCCCAGGCTAATGATATCGGGTTTAAGAAGGTGTTTAAGTTTGTGGGCCTTAAATTCACTGTGAAAAAGGATAAGAGTGAGAAGTCTGACACTGTCCAACTGCTCACTGTCAAGAAAGATGAAGGCGAGGGAGCAGCTGGGGCAGGCGACCATCCAGAGCCAAGCTGGGAGGCAGGGGAGACTGCTGCCAAAGAAAGTGAGTTCCAGCAGTCCACAGAGAAACCCCAGGGGGCCCTCAAGCAAGAGCAAACCCACACAGAAATTTCTCTTCAAGCTCAATTTGGGCAAGCAGCAGTGGAAGGCAAGGATGAAGGAGAAGTCAAAGAGAAAAAGGAAAAAGAGTCCAGCAAGTCCCCAGAGTCCCCAACTAGTCCAGTGACCAGCGAAACAACATCTTCCTTCAAGAAATTCTTCATTCAAGGTTGGGCCGGCTGGCGGAAGAAGACCAGTTTCAAGAAGCCAAAGGAGGAGGAACTGGAAGCCTCAGAGAAGAAAAAGGGACCAGAGCCAGAAAAGGCAGACACAGAGGACAAAGAAAAGGTAGAAGCCAGCTCTGAGAAACCTACCGCTCCTGAACAGCCACTCTCAGTGGAGGTAATGAAAGGTGCTCAGGAGGCCAGACTATCAGCCGAGTATGAGAAAGTAGAGCTGCCCTTGGAAGACCAAGGCAATGGCTTGCAGGCATCTCTTGCAGAGAAACTCGCGCCGTTGGCAACAGAAGTCTTTGATGAAAAAGTAGAAGTCCAGCAAGAAGTTATTGCAGATGTGCACATCAGCACTGAGGAGCACACGGAGGAGCAGGAGGCCGAGGTGGAGGAGACAGTAGAGTCTTTGCCTCCAGTAGAAATAGATGCTGAACCTCAGGAAGCTGAAGCTGCCAAGGAGCCAGTAAAGGCTGAAGAAGTTTGTGCCCCTGGAGAGGACCACTCCCAGGAGCCTGAACCAAGCTGTGATGAAAAAGTGTTGCCCAGACATCCAGAAGGCCTTATAAGTGAGGTGGAGATGTTGTCCTCCCAGGAGGGGACTAAGGCGAGTGAGGTGGAGATGCTGTCCTCCCAGGAGGGGGCTAAGGTGAGCGA